ATGCTCACTATCTATCATGATTGTACCTTTAACTATCTATAGCTTAAGAGGAATAATCATTCTGATAATAATATCTCCAAGTCTCACAAACTTTTAAATCCAGCAAACGAAATATGCTACTGAACAAAATGAGTGTTTCGATACCACGTACGCTGTTCTAAAGATTTAGCTAGCCATATCAGAGTGATCTACACGCTTGATTGCCATTTCGCTCGTTTGAGGTTGCGCTGATCAGTGGTGCACCGGGACAAATTAAACTTACAAAGCCGGATTGTTCAAATCAATTGGATTTAACTAGTTGACTTGGATGGATCCTCCTAGCTTAGAGTGTATGATGAGTTTCCAAGTGATGTAAAAACACACAATCCACGTTAACCTGTTTCACAGCTGATTGAGTTTGTCAACTATCCAGATGTAGTGCCAACAGCTGGATAACTATGATCCGATTGACGAAATCTGAGGATCAGCGTGAGTTGTTTCAAGCTAACCATGCTATTCAGCTAATGAAATAGTTAGTACTATTATGTTATCTACTCTCTAAATGTGTCCGGCTAGTGATGACCGAGTTTTCACATTAATCAATCAGAGGAGTGACTCAGAGTCACGAAGCACTATAACTGCTGTTTACTAGTTGGAGCTGATCTTCAAGAAGCTTTTTCAAGACAACACTTGTATTATGCAGTCTACTCCAACAGTCCAACTGATTTTGACTTATCACATCAAACTTAGAACTCTACCACAAATCATTAGTTCATTGGTTTACACAAAGTAACACTTATGTAGAAGAGAACTGATTGTTTAAAGGACTTGTTTCATCATTTATAGTTACATTTAAGTCGAAATTAGTACCGACCCTCCTGAAAAAAGTGATTATACGAAAACAAAAGTAAACCAACTCAGTACAGCGATGTGTGTAGTTGTGATTTATTCAAGAACCACTGAAAACCGGAGAGCATTGTATGCTTATTTCATCCTAGGTTGGGAATTCTCAGTAGTACCAACCCACGACTCCGCCTGGATCGAACTCAAAGCCTTTAGGTTTCACCTTTTATTTTCATCGATATTTAGGATGACTGAGCTTTAGACACTTTGATGAAGACTAATGGTCAATGTTTGATAAAAGAAACCTATTCGTTTGAAGACAGTCTATATGGGGAACAACCAGCAAAGAAATTGTCAGGTTATCGACACATTAAAAAAATTAGATGTAGCAGAATAAGGTAAGTCATTCGAAAAGAAACAGAAAACGAGAAAGTACAACATTTTGAGGCGAATTAGCTACACTAAACAATTATAAAAAGTGAGCTTTGCATGGCATACGAATACCGTTTCCGCCAAGAAAAAAATAAATTCAGCTAGATTGTATCATTTCAAGCTTATGACGCAAAGAAGATTTGTGAGTGAGTGGAATTTCTCTCTATTATGATGAAAAATATTCCTTTTTGTATACTTCTAGTAATCTTAGGAAAGGAAGAAAATAAGGTTTACTGTGAAAAGAAGTAGTCTCGAAACAATCAGTAATTATATTTGTCCAAAATATATGTCTGTACTTCCCTAAATCGAACTTTAAATGTGTCTTATATGTTATACTGTTTATGAAGGATGATAGTGCGATTGACTGAAGGAATGAAAAAAATCAAACCTTGTCTTTATACACACACTATTGAAGTTTGACTCAAGCGCAATTCTTGATTTTGGAAACGTGCTTCCTCTTTGCTGATATGCATAAGCGACAGCTAATGTCTGTTTCACTTACCTGCATTTATCACTGTATTTATATCAGTTAAAGTCGAGACAGAAACGTAATGTAAGAGTAAAACTAGGGCACAGTATTATGATTTATTATTTATCCCTTGGGTTCCTAGTGGAATATACGGCTTCAGTTGCACACCTCCACTGCACTCTCTCCTCTTCAGTCTTTTCAACCTGACTCCACAACTGCCCACAAACTCGCATTTATTCCTCACACACCATCTCCTCCATGTCACCCTCCACTCAGACACCCAACTCGTCGTTCCCCATTTCGATTCCACTCGACGGCCTGACCTGGCTCGTGATGTCCTCAATCGGCCTTCTCAGTGTATGCTCAATCCAATCCAATCCAATCCATCTCCACTTTCTTCTGCATATTTGTTGGGTGATAGATTGTTGGTTGGTTCGTTGCCAACCAGAGTTCCCTGTTGCTTATTCTGATTATTCTGGCTATCGATGTGATCTTCAGTATCGAGTGAGAGAGTGTAGGTGGCAGTTGTTGATGAATGTCTATAGTTTGTTGGAAATGCTTTTCGTGACACGCCAAGTTTCTCAACCATATAGCAGCACCGACTTGATACTGGTGCTGAAAATCAGCATCTTGTTCTTTGTGTTGAGTGCAGTAGATCTCCACACTGATTTCAGATTCGTGGAGGCCTGTCTTGGCTTTCCGACCCTGGTTTTGACATCCTCATTTGTGATTGTGTGGCCTGTAGTTGAAACGATGCTGCCTAGGTAGGTGAAAGAGACAACTTCCTTTAGGTTTCTCCTGTTAATGGTGATTGGTGCTTGTTGTTGGTTTGGTACTTTCATCACCTCCATCTTCTTTAACTTCCGTTGAAGTCTTGTCTTCGCTGCTTCGCCTCTTCTGTCAATTTGTTAGTTTTCGACTGTAGATCTTTGACTTTGTGCGACAGAAGACATTACACATAAATCATAGTCGAAATCCAAATCTTCTAGGCTCTTTTCATCGGTTCAGCCAGCCTATGCCCATCTTTTTGTTCCTCACTGTTTGCTGCATAACCCAGTCCACCACAATCAGGAAGATGATGGGTGATAGTAGACAGCCTTGTCTTACTCCTGTCTTCACTTCAAAGACGTCACTGAGCTTCCCATTGTGGACCACTTGGCATGTGGCCTTTTCATAAAGCTGTTGAATGAGGTTGATAAAGATTTGTGGCACTCCATAGTGTTGAAGCAGCTGCCTGCTAAATTACTTCTCGGTCGACGCTGACGAAGGCCTTTTCAAAATCGATGAAGTTGAGGTAGAGAGTTGACTGTCATTCTATACTTTGTTCTATGATGATGCGCAGCGTAGCGTTGCAATTTGATCCCCACATGATTTGTTCTTCCTGAAGCCAGCCTGTTCCAGTCATAATTTTGAATGAATAGCATTTTTGAGTATCTACAGGATTATGCGACCTAATATTTTGCTTGGGGTAGACAAGAACAGGATCATGATTCCATGCCAGTTCTTGCTAATAGTCAGCTTAGGTTTCCCTTCTTTGGAAGTTTGACAAGGCAGCCCTTCTTCCAATCTGCAGGTTCCTTTCCTTCCTTCCAAACCTTCTGCAGTAGTGGTGTGAGCATGTCCGCTGTTATTATCGTGTCTGTTTCCAGTGTTTCTACGGGAATTTCATCTGGTCCTGCTGCTTTCCCGAATTTCAGCAGTTTCATGGCATTCATGATATATATATACTGGCTGACGTTTATTAAACAAAAAAGGCAGGTGGATATAAGCACACAATTTCAGAAGGTTCTTGCTATATTCCTGAGTGTTAAATAGCACACATGCATCTAACTGACAGTTAAGTCGCTCACTATAATATCACTGATTCTAAAACCCTAGACGAAAATAGAATGAAATTGACGGGATTGAAAATAACCCGAAACACGAGAGTACATGATATGTGACCTTGCCTAGAATTCGTAACATTGACATATTAAAGATAAGAGTTAGCCAGTCAACGAGGGGCTATAACCTACTGGTCGAGGCGTGAAATAGTAATTTTAAAATGCATAAATAAATGAATAAATAGATAAATAACGTTATCGAAATGCCGCAACTTTCTGATAAAATTATGCAGTCTCCAGTATGCATATCATAGGATACAGTATGTGAGTCCATAGCACCAGAAATCAATTCATGATTGATAACCGCTGCTGTATTATAGATAAAAAGAATTAAAATATGCTGTTCAATTATACTTAGGATTAAAAAGAATCGAAAGGCACTCGGCAACTATATGAACGTTCGCGCAGTGGGTCATATCTATTGCATGAGGGCTAGTGATACTTCCTGCATGCTCAAACCTCAGTAGGTGGAGCGGTGTTTCAACCCGTAACCCATCAGGCGAAAGTCAAGTTGGTATTCATCACGGCAAACCTAGGGGCCATGAGGACAGATACTCAACAATAACATTGGGTGAAGCTCGCACTGTCATGAACTGATAGAAATTGGGAATGTGGACCATTAGATTCCGACCCAGTGGTTCAATGGTAGCGTGCTGGCCACGAGACCTAGAGGCCGTGGGTTCGAGCCCCAGTGGGTGCACACTATTGAGTAGTCCCATACTAAAATGGAACAGCTGTTCAGCGCTCCCAGGTTTCGAATGTTCCTCAAAATGATATCAGTTCATGGTGAATACCAACTTGAAAAATGAATAAATCCACACAAACGCCCAAATTCGAAAGTTATGTTGCCTAGAAGAATGACCCACAGTTGAGATACTTGCAATATAGAGTCGAAGAAGCCACAGAAATTAGTATGCTACGCGAGAATATATTGCAGGTTTTAAAAACATAAGGTGATTTAGATGGATAGAATGGTTTCTGTTTAGCTTCTTGAGGTCCTAAAGTATCCAATGGTATTGGCAGTCCATAAACCATACCTGTAGTTTGACACCTATCAAAACGGATTGGATGCAGAAGCTTTTCATAAGTGAAACAGGCTATGAAAAAGTAACTCAGTGGTAGAATGGTGTATGTGGGAGAGGGGGAGAGAGACTATGCATATATGTCTCATCGCAAACTTAGGTTGGAACTGATCTTTTGAAGACTGAGGAAGTTATGCGCTTTCTTGGAAGGAACGACATATGACTGTAGGACTTGAAGAGAATTTACTGAAAATATATGTTTGCCCGAAATAATTGTCGTTTAGAATATCTAATGGAAATCATTAAATTACTGAAGAAAAAGGTATCTATTCAACAAGCATAGCAACAAATAAACAGTTTTATTTCACTTACTTTCCTGAATATCCAAATCAAAAATATTTTCCAGTTGTTCAGCGTTTGATTCACTTGTCCCACTGTCAATATGGTCATTTGTATGGTTTTCCCAGGTTTGAAGTTCTTCATTGCTTGTCAGTGGTGATTCTGTTTTCTCAGTTTTTAGTTTACATTCCTGTATTTTACAAAGTTGAAGGAAATAAAGGTTAAACATATTAAGTATAGCAAAAAAAATTCATTCTTTGATCTATCAAATAATAATTTATGGTAAACATTCACAAATTTTACTAACATTTTGCCACTTTTCATCAGGAATAGGTCGTTTTAAGAACTATTGGAAAACAAAAGAGTATCGTTACTATTTGTTGATGCTTGCAACTCCGGCTGATGAGTCCCAAATAGGACAAAGCGTGCACCTTAAATTCCACTGCCAGCCAACAGCAGGTAAATTATAAAAGAGTATCGCTTTTATAGCTTTCTATGATATGCGCTGTAAATTGAACGAATATCATTATTTGGCTTATAAGATTGAATTAAGTGATGGTCATTTCCTCATTTCAATCATCTCATGACTCTGTATTACTACTAGTTAACTTAATCAAGAAGTATTTGTTGCCTTATCCGATTTCCGAAACAGATACAAGAAACTTGTCACTCGTTAGTAAGGTGCTTATAAGTAGCATGAAGTACTTCATGTGAGTATTACGCAATCATCCAATCGGTTAGTCGACAGAACACCTTGAACTAAGTTTTAATGTTTATTATTAATCAACAGTGACGCTTACATCGTTGTTAACACTTCACTTGGAGGAATTAGTTCACTCAGCATAACTTTTATTTCCTGTACGTGTTGAATAAAATGCGGCTTTTAATGTCACGGTGGAGAAAGAAGATTTCCTAAAGAGATAAGTAGACTTATTCTTACACAACAGTTGTATTGATGGCCCATTTCCAATCCAGTAAAAGTTAACAAAGAAAACAAACTACGTCAATAAGTTTCAACTGAGAACAGGATATTAAGCAAGTATAACTTGCAGCTCTCAGTGCTCAAGGATCATTTCGTAGTCAGCAAATATTTACACAAAAGTCATGGATCAAGAGAGACGATGGTGCAAATGACGGTTTACACGCTTCGTTTTTGTTTTTCCATCTACCTTCTAGGTTATATCCATTTTAACACAGTGAGGAAAGTCTTGCAGACAGACAGGTCCTGGACAATGCACTCCTACTTAATATGTCTGCTGATTTTTCTTAACTTGTCAAAGAAGTCAAAACCAACAGGGAAATATACAATGACAAAATAATTAGTCGTCAGAGCGTGAGTAGCGATATTTTGAAAATCGATTTATGCACTATAACTGCTAGTACATCAGTGAACATGCAAGTGCATACATCAGATACAATCTGATAAACACTCATCATTATCATCAAGATCAACATAGGATGATATTACTTCATAACGGTCCAAACTGTCACATCCCCCATCAGCATATCACGTAATAAGATGATAAAATGGAAAGTGAAGCAGGAAAGAAAAATTGGTCAAAAGAAGTAGTATGTAGTGAAAGAGAAGGAGAAGGAGAAAATGATGAGACTAAGTATAACGGTTAGGATGGGGATAGTGTGTGTGTGTGTATACATCTGCGCCAATAACATCGATTCTGAGCCTGCTGAACGAAAGTTCACATGGTTGCTGAGTGGATTTCAATTATTTAAACAGATTTCTTTATGTATTTTTGAAATGAATGGGGATTTTTAATTTAGAAGTACTGTTCGTCATGGACTGACATCAGTTGAGGAACCACTGAAAACTTGGGAGCACTGGACAGCTGTTTCGTCCAGTGTTCGCCGTGAAACCCGAAGGTCCTGAGTTCGACCCCTAACCGGGTCGTGGGTGCGTACTGCTGAGGAGTCCCATACTAGGACGAAACAGCTGTCCAGTGCTCCCAGATTTTCAATGGTTCTTCAATTGATGTCAGTCCATGATGAATACTACTTCCAAATTAAAAATCCCCATTCATCTCAAAAATACATTACTCTATAGTGCTCATTAGTGACTTGCTTTCAGATGGATGTCAGGAAGTTCTTTTGAGAAGCCGCGACCTGTGGGGTCAACCAGTCAGATGTGAAGTGGATGCTAACTGAAGACCTTGGGTGACAGTCGCGCTATGTCGTGAATTGATAGAAGTTGGAAATTGTGAACCACCGGGAACCGACCCAGTGGATGAATGGTTAACGCGTTCGCCGTGAAACCCGAAGGTCCTGAGTTCGACCCCTAGCCGGGTCGTAGGTGCGTACTGCTGAGGAGTCCCATACTCGGACGAAACGGCTGTTCAGTGCTCCCAGATTTTCAATGGTTCCCCAACTGATGTCAGTCCATGATGAATACTACTTCTAGATTTCTTTATCTATATCAATGGAAAGATTTCTTAAATTCAATTTATCCTCATTCTTTTTGATTTGTTGACATAAATTTCTATAAGTTGAAAAAAGATTGTTGATTTATTTCTAATTTGTGGGAGGGGGGGATTTAAGTCAATTTACTTATTTCCCTTAGTGTTTTGCATAGATTAGGCATAGGGATTATTTTGTAAAAGATGATCATGTGATATTAAAGGAAATAAAAAAAAAACACAATTTTCAGCATGATTACGCCTTGATTAAATCAGGAGAGTACACGTGATATTTAGTTCACCTGAATCTTCACAATGTGCCTATTGAAAATTCATACTTCAATAGTAATTCACTTTGATTGATTCCAAATGAAAATGTAGAGTTTCACTACATTTGAAGTATTCGTACAATTCTTTAAAGTATGAATAGTGGCTAGTATTAAAATTCAGCAAATGTGATTCGTATTATCTAAGACTCATCAGCTGAATGTATCTGCCTCCTAATGACTGTTGTTGTTTGCGGTGAGCAAATTAGCCACTGGATTGATATCTATCAGTCCACATTTTCCAATTTCTATCAATTCACAATGTAGTGAGAACTTTATTTTGTCCTACTGGCAGGTACTTGTCACACCGAACTCAGTTGATTACGCAGGGGACAATTTTTCATTAGAAAATTCAAGAAATCCATCTCAAAGCTAGTCAACTATGAGCACTGGACAGCGATACAAACAAGGATGGTTTTGTCGTTTCCGAGCTTCGATATCTCGTCGTGAATGTTTGGAGTGGTAAAAGAATCATCAAACCTGGTGATGAAATGTTCGTGACAAACTATCACCATCGTCATCCTGAACCACTCATCTTTTCTGTTATTTCACGTAATTCGGTTATTGACTGACTCATTAAGTTGTCAATACAATTCCTTCATCACTGACTATGCTGTCCGCATCTGGTTTCATGGTAGGTATGCACGTAGAGTGAAACTTATTTCAGAGGTAGAGGTATTGACTCACACTAGTATTCTGACGATCACCAACAAATTAGAAACACATTTAAACAAAATTTTATATCTCAGTTGCAAGACAAACTGTTAGTACCAGTGACTGACTGACAAGATCTCTTCAAGTGAGGTTAGAAACAGAAGATCGTGTAGATCAAGTTCAACTTGCTAACCACAGTACGCATGAGTTGAAAATTGAAACTCAAGAGGATACTTAAGCTTGCACAAGTAAGACATCTCAATCAAAATGATACAGTTTACCATACATTTCGCTTTTCACCGGAGGTTCAACCAATATATGCACGCACAATGAAGTTTTCCCTTTTAAGAACTTTTTTCCACCGTTGTCATCATCTAGAGAGTGAGTAATCATTTCGAAGAAGAAGAAGCATTTCTATCATTCTTCCCTAGATTAAGATGAAACAAATGTATACAACTTGTGGATAAATAAATCTCTGACAATGAAAGTTACAACATACTTGATTGCCAAAGCGGGCATAGCCTGTCGGTCCAACGTGCATGCACAGATCTGGTCTTGGTTGTCCATTTATACAGATATCCACCTAGAAGAATAAAATCATTACAAAGAAGTTTTTTCGACACTTTATTGATTTTTTGTAGACTTATTTAAAGTATAAATCTAAGGAAAGTGTAAGATAGTGGAGTGGACCATACGGAAGAATGTGATGACAGCAGCAAAACTGTTAGGCATTACTGCAATGAACATAAATGAAGATTACATTTTACATAAAGATATTCAAGAAATATTTAATTGCTTTTCTTTTTCACATTTTATCAAATTGTTATTTGAGCAGAAGACGAATGTTAACTGGATCAAGAATTCTCTAGCTTCAAAGATGAGCAACACTGTACAGTTTCCGAGTTCAGTTAACACGTGGTCTTTCAAATTTCAGATGACGATCAGATGTAACTATCCTGGAGTTAAAAGGGCTATATTTCTCTGAATGACTACTCTTCTACATTATTTTATCCAGTATACCACTATCAGTAGAAAAAACAACACATTCAACCAAGACTCATGAAAAACAAAGGAAGATGATAAAATATGAGTTCAGTCAGCAAGATAATTCCAAATTCATGCCACAAGTAGAAAATTAACGGTTATCAATGGGCATTTCTCTCGCATGATCTTGATAGAGAGGAGAGCACATGCCCAATAACTTGAAATCTACCAGTTTGGAATCTTTTATAGTCTATATTTTCTTTCAAATCCCTCCATCATAAGCTCCCGCTATATACCTGAGAAGTTAAGCAGAAAGCAAATAGTTTTCAGCTCGACAAATGAAAATGTTTCCGTTGATTAAAAAAAGATATTGAGAAGATCACAAGGAAGAGGAAGTTCTGCCTATTAAGGTTTATGAGTACAAGACTAGGATCAAAGCTTTTCACCAATTTCATGCAACCATCTAGTTATTGAATATATTATTCACTTATTCTGGACAGTAATGAAAGTAAAGACTAGAATGTAAATCAGTCGATTTGCAAAAGCTTAGAGAAACATCGATCATTTTGTAGAGAAGAAATAATCTGTAGACAATTTTTTCCTGTAATGCTACTGAGGAATTCAAATGAGTCGATATGTATGAGGTTCAAGCAAGACCTTAAAAACTAGAGAAGTCTGATTTCATGTCCAAACGTAATTAAACCACGTTACACCATAAAGCATACGAATTTCAATGACATACGACCAAGTCACCAACAAAAAGTGGAATGGTGACAAAGATTACCATCTAATGATTATAAGAGAGAACTTGCAGTAAAAAAGTTGCATAAATAGTACCATGTTCAATAAAAGCGAGTCAATCAGAATCTCCCATGGTAGTTGTAACTTCCCGTTGGTATACTGGGTCGAATCGCACGACCTCTATTAGCAGATGGGCTACCATATGGATGCCTAGACACTGTTCAACTATTCATTATACTGTAATCAATTTGGTGGCTATCAGTCGAATCCTGAATGTACATTTCCTCCCATTAAAGACTCACCAGCTGGATCTTCATGTACCCACGTAAGTGATGTTGTTCCCAATCGGACTCTAACTCATCGTTTCAAACACTAAAGCCTTATAAACTAGGACACCGGGGAGCGAGAACCACCTCTTGTGAAATTGGTATCAGGTGTTGTTTACTGATACTTGTACACTGTCAAATAATGAATATCCAGGCAGTATTGAGGCATTCACATAGGAGCCCATCTGTCAACGGAGGTCGAGCAATTCAGCCCAGTGTAGCAAAGGGGAATTACAAGTATCAATAAACAAGAATTGATGCCCATTGCATAGGAGGTGGCTCTTATGTTCGATTGCGTAGGGGTAGTGTTTTGGGGTTTGAAGAGGTGGGTACTAAGTTCGAGTCTCAATGAGAACAACACTCACTGGGATACAGGTTGACGAGTCCAGAATAGAACGAAACGCGCCTCCTGGATTCCACTGCTAGCCAGGAAGTAGCTTACAGCTTCGCCGGTATTAAGAAATAACACACAAGTAAATCATTATTCAAAACATAGTTCTATGGTGGTCAAAATGATGAAAAGTCATTGGATTTTAAAATTGAGTCGTACAACTTATATGAAGTTATAGGATGAAAAAATTTCATTGCGAAGGTAACGTTTCACCAACGTTACATCTGTCAAGTTGAGCAATTTCATGTGAAAACATTTTTTGACATCAGAACTGAAACTAGTTCGCAAACTATCATCGTAAACTTCACTTCTGATAAAAGTTGAGGTAACAGCGAACATATATGTGGTTCAAGGGTATATTTTCCGTAAATAATCAGAAACTAAGGTAAATTTATATTAACTCACGAAATGGAATAAAGTAATAGAAGTGAATGAGGTGAATCCATTTTGAAAAACTGAGCGACATGGTATATGTAGCCGGGGACACAATGACGAGGATAGCTTGAGATAAATTTGTGAAGTACCTGACTGGTTGAAATAATTACCGTAGAACTTCGCACACAAGTATATTCGAACTTCACAGAGAATAAACAATCTGGTGATAACGATTAGTGTAAACATTCAAGCCTCACAAGATGTCAAGGAGTGAATACATCTGTGCCACTGTTCCCGATTTTCAGCCATGTCACCAAGAGTCCTCAACCACTGAATCTTGTCGTCACAGGAACCCTAATCAGACGGTTCATATACCCCAACACGACTTAGAACAACAGTAAGTCACTTTATCGACAGATGTAGCATCTTTGTCTGGTCACTCTGAACCATCTTTCAACCTAATCCAACTTACCCTAGCAGGCAAGTCAAGATAGGCGGTGGCTCGCCATGCACATAATATGTTCAAGCCATCTCAGGTTAACAACCTCATCAATCGACTGAACTGCCCGTCTTGCCTCATACCGTTTGCCTGACCTCATCGTTGCTCATATAGCGATTCCAAAAGACGCGGCCAATGCTACGAAGATACTAATGATCGAAACCCTGCAATCACTGTATATCTTCTACTTTCAACTGCTATGTCTCACAGGAGTATAACAGGAAAGAAGGAACTACAGAGCAGTATACACATCTTCGCCAGTCGGCGCGAAAGTTGACGCAAGTTGCCAAGTACCAAACGGGCCTTCTGTATCCAAGCTGAAATTTCATTAGCGACCAGTCAGTTCAAGCTGATGCAACTCCCGAGTAAGTGAAGTGGATGACACATTTCACCACTTCGCTCCGTATCATTAAACTGAAAGCATCATATTACATTTGACAGGTGTGAGACGCATGTCAAATATACATTTCTACTTGACGCGTTCCGAAAGCTCTCCACTCAGTGGTAGGGAAGATTTAACTATCCAACCAACTTAGACAGCATATCGAAGATAACTTGTAATACATACCAACTACAAACAAAGTGAACTTCTGACTCATCCTATTTTGGTCACACTTATTCACAGGCATGTACGTATCCTAACACATTCACTTCTTCAACCAGAACTCACAGGTTAATAACTGCCTTAGTGTGCATGGATACACAAAGTGGTGTGATTTATTTCCATGTTCCACAAAGACTTGTACTAGCTTTTATTCTGCAATGAAACGATTTTCACGTGGTCGTGAAACGTCAGAAATCCATTTTTCTACTTTATTGAGATTTGGGATACAATATTTCCTTTATAACCATTTACCCAATGCTCAAACTATTGAATTTTGAATCAAGCAAATTCTGATGATTATGAAGTCTATAAACTAAGTCTATAAACTACGGAGTACCGCAAACCTTTATCCGCCTCATTCAACAACTATATGAAGATGCCACATGCCAAGTAATCCACAATGGGAAGCTCAGTGATGCCTTTGAAGTGAAGACAGGAGTGAAACAAGGTTGCTTACTATCCCCCATGATATTCTTGATTGTGGTGGACTGGATCATGCAGCAAACAGTAGGCAGCGAGAAGAGGGGGATACACTGGACGACGGGAAAGAACCTAGAAGACTTGGATTTCGCCGATGACTTATGCCTAATGTCACATAAACTTGAAGATCTGCAAGCAAAAACTAACAAGTTGATAGAAGAGGCAGCGAAGACGGGACTTCAGGTGAATATAGAGAAGACAGAAGTGATGAAGATACCGCACCACCACCATCAACAACAACAACAAACTCCAATCACTGTCAACGGGAGAAACTTAAAGGAAGTAACCTCCTTCACTTATCTAGGAAGCACTGTTTCAACTACAAGCGGGACGGACGAGGACGTCAAAGTCAGAATCGGAAAAGCAAGACAGGCCTTCATTAGCCTGAAACCAGTGTGGAGATCTTCTGCACTCAGCATCTGGAACAAGATACGGATTTTCAACACCAACGTCAAGTCAGTGCTCTTGTATGGCTCAGAGACTTGGCGCGTCACGAAAGGTATTTCCAATAAACTACAGACATTCATCAACAACTGCTTACGCTCGCTGCTGAAGATCAGATGGCCAGAAAAAATAAGCAACAAGGAACTCTGGGAACGAACCAACCAAGAACCTATCACGCAACAAATATGCAGGAAGAAGTGGAGATGGATTGGCCATGCACTGAGAAGGCCGACTGAGGACATCACGCGTCAGGCCCTCGAGTGGAATCCCCATGGGAAGCGACGAGTTGGACGTCCGAGGGTGACATGGAGGAGGTCGTGCGAGGAGGAAATGAGAGGTTGTGGGCTGTCGTGGGACCAGGTTCAAAAGATCTCAGAGAACAGGATGAAATGGAGACGTGCTACTGAAGCCCTATGTTCCACTAGGAACCCAAGGGACTAATAATAATAATAATAATAATAATAATAAACTTTCTTTGGTTTATTACAGAAGTTTACTGTTTACACAGTTCAGATGTACTTCATGCACTCTACAGTTATACCAAAAGCGTTTTTTATTTACACTAGCCAGATTGATAATGTAGAACTATATGATGCATTTCTTCCTCCCGTTACACTTGAAGACACATTTGGATGAAAGGTATCAATATATTTAATTGGTTTCTAGTTGGTATTCCTCACAGACTGATACCAGTCGGACAGAGATATAGAAAGATGTTAGTCAAATGCCATCGTTGAGT